AGCTCCAACACCTTGTCCAAACAACTTCCCTAATAGCCTCATTGCTTCTTCATCAGTTCTACCTCTTACATAGCTGGAACCAATCCTCAGGTGGGCCTCCCACACCCGGCATCAGGCTAGTTCATTTCAGCTGGGTGTAACAAGCTGAACACCTGTTTGCAACCCACCACAATCATCAATGATTTAAAATTATATTTATGCCTCATCTTGAAAGCTTTCTTTGAAGAAGAAACTGGGTAGCTTTAGAAAGTTACATTTATACATCAAGAGCATACTTTTTAAAGTTAAAACATACCATGATTTAAAAGGCATGGCCCACTGTGCTGGTGCACACCTGTCATCCCAGCACTGAGGAGGCAGAGGGAGAGGATCACTATCACTTTGAGGTGATCCTGAGTTATAAACCATGACCCTATCTCAAAAAAGTAAAAGCAATACTGCTTGAAATTCCTCAGACACCCTGGACACTATAAGAACACTATACAGTATTTTAGTTGAGTTTTCCTAGATTGAGAAATTGAAGGGCAAAGAGGACTCCACTCTCCTGAATCCCAGCCCCTTTGTTGCTGGATCCCCACAAGGCAGGTACCTAGAGATGGTGTGTAGTGTGTGACAACGTCTTTGCTTCTTATTGTGTCTGGCACACAGGACTTAATACATATATGTAGAATTTAACTATTTCCAGGAAAGAACTAACAATACTAGTATGTTGACTGTGGGCATTTTTATTAGGATAGTTAATTGTTTCAACCATGTGTGTAAATGCTACATTCTTTCTGTAGTTCAGTAGCCAAAGGGCAAATAGCTGAGCTAGCAAACTATAGCCTGGAATGGACAGTGGCAGGCAGATTGAGAACTCCTGATTTTCCCACAGGGAGTGATTTTGGGAATTTGTGGGACTATTAGGACTGATTTGTACAAATTTATAGAGGTAGCTGCTTATAGGAGCTACATGACTCCAAAGCCCCCAGCATTATAAGCTCAGGTGTCTTTATCCTGATCCTGAGTGGAACCAATGAGGGCACAATGTTGGGAGTTGGGTTGTTCTTGAGTGTATACCACGGCTATGTGTTAGGACCATCTGTAGGATTATTAATAGCACCTGTTGCCCAGGACCAATTAAATCAGGATCTCCAGACCAGGGCCCAGGCACTGTAATGTAAAACTCTCTGGACAGAGCTCCAAAGAGGTGCAAAGAATGGATGGTGGGACAGCACTCCTGTCTGCCTTCCACAAGCTTTCAGCCAACAGGGTTATCTGACAGTGCTTGGTCTGATGTGCACTCGGGTTACCTGAACTGCAGATTCACTCAGTAGGTCTGGCCTGCTGCCACAGAAGCAGCCACTCTGGGGAGTGAGGCTCCAGACAAGCACGGTTCCATTTGGTGACCACAAGCTGTTTGTGGCTGTGGGCATGTGAACAATGGATAGTGTAGGAGGCCATTGTCTTGGACTAGGCTCCACCGCTGGGATCCAACAGACCAGATAAAAGGTCAAGAGGGAGCCGCTATGCTGAAGTTCCATGTCACCATGATAGAAAGATTCTCTCTGCTTCACACAAAATAAACTCATCATAACACAGGTTGTGCTCCTATTGGTCTGGCTCTTCCCTGCCTTACATGGAAAGTAATTTTGAAATAGTCACTGTGCTTGTTCTTTAGTGCTACCTTGTCCAGCCCTTCTCTGTTTGTTATGGGTCACTCAGAATAGGAACCAGATCAGCCAGGTTGGAATTTGGAAAGCCGTTTATTACTGAGCTCAGGGCCCCTCGGTCTGCTCTCACACAGGACAGAACCGAAAAGGCGCCAGCCCAGCAAGCAGGAAGGAGTTTTAAAACCTGGAACCACATTGAGTTTGATAAGCAAATTTATTTTCTGACACAAAATAATGCTTGCAGAATGATTGGGACCACAACTCAAACTACATTTCTGGGGCTTTTGTTTCAGTTTCTGATTAATTTTCACCTGAGTACCTGCAGGCAGCCTTGCATAGCCAGGAGATTACAAGAAGATAAAGCCCATTTAGTTTTCTTTGTCATCTCTGTAAGCTAACTTTGCAGACAGGAATTGGTGAGGGTCACAGGAATTTTATCTAGCAAACAGCAAAAAACAGCCACTAGTTACTAAACAACTTAGAACAGTGCTAAGTATACATTTGTACACAACAGAAAACACAAGATTTACATTTATAGCCTAAAATGTGAGTTAACCCATTACATTCCCCATTGGTTTCATCTAGGAATCAAATCTTTGATTCAGCACTAAAACCCAAGTTACTATAATTGCCCTGGAGGCATGAGGGGTTTGTGGTTAGATCTCAGCACCATTAACTTTATAGTCTGAATTCTTTGTTGCATATAATTAATTAAACAGTTTATTAAACAAGGCCCAATGAGTAGGACCAGAAGGAATATAATCACGGGTCCAATTAATGCAGTTATCAGATTATTTACCCAAGGGGTCAGGGAAAATAACCCCTGGTTATCATCTTGACAGATATTTTCAGCAAGTTTTCTTAGTGTTTTCACATGATTTTTGTATCTGATTACTGTTGTCTAACAGATTGAAACAACACAGGTTTTTTACCTTCTCACACCCCTGGTGATGAAGCAGTAACAGATCATCTATAGCAGCTCGATTGTTTAATATTGTCTATGTTCTCTCTGCTCCGCGTTGAGCAGGGCAATGGCTGTTGAGGTGGCAATAAGAGCCTTTGCCACATTGCAACCTAGTTGTCTCACATGCTTTTCCACCACTTCCCCAAAGTAGAGGTTTCCAACAACACTAAATATCATGGCATAGGCTTCTGTATCTGACAGGAAAGAGACTTTATCATCACAGTCAGGAGGAAGAGGTATTTTAGAAACTTCTCTCCTTTTATGAGGTGGTGAGTGGTCTGGTCATTGTTCCCTTAAATCATCCTGAGATGGAAGTATTACAGCCAGCCTACTTAAACAACAGGAGACTTTATCCAGATAGGCTGGGATGTAGTTAAAAGTATGGCCATTGCATCTAAAAAACCATCCTGTTGGTAACAGAATATTACCATTTGTATGAGAATACTCTACAAGTCTAGAACAGTTTAAAACCCCTGACAACCCATGACATTTTTGCCCAGTACAGTTTATGAATTGTACACAAGTTTCATTTAGCGCAACTACACTTTTAGGAGTAACAAAATGTAGGGCACCTGGTGGGACGTCACGAAAGACAGGTCCCTAGCTAGCCAGATCATGATATGAAGCAGGTTTAGAAATATAAAAGGTCCAATTTCTAATGCCTTCTACAGGCTTGCATACTGGCCTCAGACATGAACCCAGCACACATTGAAGATCTAAGGTTTGCTCTAGACAAAAGGTTGACAAATTAAGAATGTTTGCCATCTGGGTCCACATGTTATTGTGGGAATTAAGTACAGGCACAGCAGGTATCATCGGCAAGGCATGAATTGCAGGCAATTTACAACATACAATGAGGAGAATCGAGAACACAGTTAGGTCAGATCTGAACCATGGCGTACTAACTTGATCATGAGCGGATCGGACCTCTCTTTGATTTGCCATTTTTTTTTAAGACACCGTCCTCTGTAGCTGGCTTGATGTGGGTGTGATGTATCAAATGTCTCTTTCTGGCTACCTTGACCACGGTGGGAGTGCTCAGGACCACAGGATAAGGTCCCACCCAGTGGGGTCCTAAGGTGGCTGGGTCTCTTTTTTTATCTAAACTAGAGAGCCAGGTTCTGCAGCCAGGGGGCCATCAAGCCGTTCTGGTCTGGGATGCTGGTGTCGGAAGAGGGAGTGTGTAGCCTGCAGCGTAGATTGCAGAGCCTGCAAGGACTTAACAAGTTCCTGATTAGAAACAGATGTCAGAATTTCCTCCCCCAGTTTGGGGATTAAGGGAGGTGCTCTACCATACATAATTTCAAAGGGGGTGATCCCGTGTACATAGGGACTACAGCGGGCTCGTAATTGTCGCGCACAGCCTTGCCAGCAAGGAAGATGCGACCACTGGTTGTGTCTGCACAGCCTTTTATTGCCCTGTTACATTTCTCTTCTCTTTCCCAAGGCCCCTGCTCTCAGCTTATAAGTCTCAGGGCTTCCAATCATGGGGTGCCACATATGGACCGTCCATTGGTCCAGGTATGCGGAAGCAATGCATTAGCCCAAGCCTTGGCCTTATATGGAGTTGTTTATTACTAGGAGCGCTCACCCCCTGAGAGGGTGGAAGGTGGAAACCGGCGCCATCCTAGGGCGCAGCTACACGCAGCTCCCTACACATAATAAAGCAAAAGGAAGGAGACTCACCCAGTTCTCGCCAGTTTCCAACCCTAGCTTTGAAATAGTTTCTTTTAGAGTCTGATTTATCCTTTCCACCTGACTTGAACTCAGAGGCCTATATGCACAATTTAGTGTCCATTTTAATTTTAGAGCTTGGGACAGACTTCTAGTTACCTGGGCTATGAAAGCCAGGCCATTGTCGGACCCCATAGTAATGGGAAGGCCAAATCTGGGAATAATCTCTGTCAGTAATTTTTTTGTCCCTATTAGAGCTGATTCTAATCAGGTGGCATATTCCTCTGGCCATCCGGTGAAGATGTCTACTAGGACAAGGAGGTAGTGATATCCTCCTTTTCCTGGTCCCATTTTGATGAAATCAATCTCCCATTGTTCCCCAGGGGACATACCTTGAGCACGCTGTCTTGGCTCAAAAGTAGTTCTGCTGGAGTTTACCTGGGCACAATGAAGACACCGTCGGCTTAATTCCTTAGTCAGTCGATTAAGTTGGCGTATGAAATAGGATTTCCACAACAGTTCAGCCAACTTATTTTCTCCCAAGTGAGTCCCTTATTTGCTCAATGAGTTCTCAGCCCAAAACCTCAGGAAGGAGAATCCTACCATCCGGCAGCATCTGCCAGCCATGTTGTGTGGGTGTTGTTTTTAAACCTTTAGCCAACAAAAGATCTTCATCAGAATAGGTAGGCTATCAGAATAGGTCTAGCACTCTAGGCAGCAGGACCGGCAAGAGTGCCTCGAGTGGCCCCACTGGTTTTTGTGCCACTTCCCTGGCCGTGGCAACTGCCAGAGCATTTCCCCGGGGCCACTGGGGAATCTACCTTCTGGTGTCCCTTGCAGTGAATTACTGCCACTCTCTTAGGGAGCCAGACGGCTGCGAGCAGGTCTAGAATTTCTTGAGCATTTTTGATCTTATGTCCACCGGTGGTCAATAGACCACGCTCCTGATAAATAGTTCCATGCACATGTAGAGTGGCAAAGGCATACCTGCTGTCAGTATAGACATTCACCTGTTTACCTCGTCCCCAGCAGAGGGCCTGGGTTAGGGCGATGAGCTCTGCCCGCTGGGCCAAAGTTCCATGTCCTAAGGCTTGCGCCCAAATCACCTGATCCTCTGTGACCACTGCTGCCCCGGCATAGGGGACTCCATCCTGGACAAAACTGCTCCCATCGGTGTACAGAGTAGCTTCAGGATTATCGAGAGGGACGTCAGTGAGGTCTTCTCTCAAACTGGCATTAGCTTCAAGTATCTCGGAGCAGTTATGGAACGGCATCTCAGGATCATCATCTGGCAGCAAAGTGGCTGGATTCAAAGCTGTAGTAGACAAGAACTTAACATGGGCTGGGTCTAAAAGTAATGCTTGGTATTGCACGATTCACGCATTTGACAGCCATCTGTCAGGAGGACTTTTAAGGAGATTCTCTACTGCATGAGGAGCCACAATGTGGAGCTCCTGACCAAATGTGAGCTTAGTAGCTTCCTTTGTCAGGATGGCAGTGGCAGCAATGGCCCTCAGGCAGTTGGGCCAGCCTGCTGCTATAGGATCCAGCCTCTTGGACAGGTATGCTACAGGCCTTTTCCAGGGCCCTAAATATTGAGTCAGGACCCCTTTTTCCTCTGTTTTCGAACATATGGAGTTGGAATGGTATTGTCAAGTCAGGTAGTGCCAGAGCAGGGGCTGAAGCAAGGGCTCTTTTGAAGGTCTCAAAGGCCTCCTGTTCAGACTTAGTCCAGCAGAGTTTCCCTTTTTGGTCCCCTCCAGTACTGGCATAAAGAGGTTGGGCAATCTCAGCAAATCCTATAATCCAGAGTCTGCAATACCCAAGGAGCCCTAGAAATTCCCTTACTTGTTGTTTTGTGGTAGGGACAGGTATCTTTAATATTGCTTTGACTCATTTATCAGACAGGATTCGCTGTCCTTCCTGTAGTCTATAGCCCAAATAGGTTACCTGAGACAAGCAAAGCTGGGCCTTTCTTGCGGAGACCCTATAGTCCATCTTGTCTAGCTCTCGCAGTAAATCTTCAGTGGCCTCTTTACAGGAATCATAGGTGTTAGAGGCCAACAAAAGGTCATCTATGTATTGCAACAGAGTCACTTGGGGATGTTCTCCCCGAAAACTCAGCAAGTCTTTGCTTAAGGTCTCGTTAAACAGGGTTGGGGAGTTTGTGAAGCTCTGAGGTAGTCTGGTCCAGGTTAATTGTCCACTCTCTCCCATCTGAAGATCCACCCACTCAAAAGCAAAAATAGGTTGACTTACCAGGGCCAACGGGAGTGTGAAGAAGGCATCCTTTAAGTCCAGGACTGTGTAGAAGATTCGGTCCGGGGGCAGCAGACTCAGAAGCGTATATGGGTTGGGCACCGTGGGATGGATGGTTTCCACCCTTTGGTTTACTTCCCATAAATCTTGAACAGGTCTATAGTCTGTAGTTCCGGGTTTCTGAACTGGTAACAGGGGTGTATTCAAAGCAGACTTATAGGGCACAAGGATGCCCTCTTTCTTGAGTCTCTGTATGTGGACACTTATCCCTAACCTGGTTTGTAGACTTAAAGGGTACTGGCAGACTCGGATAGGAGACACTCCAGGTAGAAGAGCGACCACCACCGGTAGCTGGTGGATGGCTAGGCCAGGAGGGTTGTTCTCAGCCCACACTCTAGGGATCTCAGATGTCCATCTGATAAGCAGGTCAGAGGGGGCCTCTTCGGGTCCCTCACTGGCTAGCAGCAAATGTTCCTCCGTCAATGGGCAAGTATATAGAATGGCAGGGGGCAAAGGATTTTCTTCCCCTTCCCCAAACAAAATCTTTATAGAGTTCTCTTCAAAGGAGATCTGTGCTTGTAATTTGTGAAGCAAGTCACGGCCAATCAGAGGGTATGGGCACTCTGGCATAACTAGGAAGGAGTGGGTCATCTGTCTTGTTCCCAGGTTTCCTATACAGGCCTGAGTCCAAGGATATGACTTGTTTTATCCAGTAGCTCCTTGTATGCATGTTTTATTTTCTGACAGGGGCCCTGCTGGTTGTTACAAGACAGAGTAGGTAGCTCCGGTATCTACCAGAAAGTCAACAGGTTGGCCCCCTACCTCTAAAGTAACCATAGGCTCTTGGGGGCTGGATTTAGAGCCCTGGCACCGTCAGTTTTTCTCTTCCTGTGCCAAAACCTGAGTAGGCTTCTTTTTCTTCGGGCACTGATCTTTCCAGTGTCCTTCCTCTTTGCAATAGGCACACTGATTCTTATTAAGAGATATCTTTCTTTTACCTCTATTTTTTTGGCTCTTAACTTTCTTTTCTTTTGAGTTTTTCTCTCCCTTGGCAATCAGGACCTTAGCCATTTTCTTATTTAATTCCCTAGGGTCCTCTCTGTTACTGAAAACTAGTTGAGCTATCTCCACCAATTCTGTCAGTGTCTTTCCCTCAAATCCTTTAGTCCTTTGTAACTTCCTCCTAATGTCTGGGGCCGACTGAGAAACAAAAACTATGTTTACTGCTCAGAAGTTTTCACAGGCTTCAGGGTCTATCAGTGTATATATCTGATATGCCTCCTGGAGGCATTCAAGGAAAGCCACAGGCAATTCATCTGGTCCCTGACTCACCTCTGTAACCTTAGACAAATTCGTAGGCCTTTTAGCCGCCCCCCTGATCACCCTTAAGAGAAACGGGCAATACCTTTCGAGAGCCTCCTTACTCCCATGGGAATTAGGATCCCATTTTGGGCGGGTCAAAGGGAAGGACTCTTCCAGTCATGCAGGATCTGAGGCTGGTTGAACGACGGGGCCTAAAACCAGTTTTTGTCCAAGTCCCCGGATCCGCTCTCCTTCTTCTGATGTAAAGAGGGTCTGTAAAAGCTGTTGGCAATCATCCCAAGTGGGCTGGTGGGTGAAAAACACAGACTCTAGAAGAGATATAAGCCCTTGGGGGTTCTGAGAGAAAGAGGGGTTCTGATCCTTCCAGTTGTATAAGTCATTAGTCGAAAAAGGGACATAAATCATGAAAGGGCGGTTCTTCTTCCCCTAGTTGCTGGCGCAGGGGAAGGTCTAGGGCTGGTGCTGAGGTTGAAGGTTCAGGGCCAGGCAGCGGAGGCTGAGAAAAAGGCAGTCCACTGCGGGTGTGCAGTGGACTTAAAGGAGTGGAGGAGTCGGAGCTGGCGGAAGCCGAAGGATAAGGGGAAGGACAGACAGTCTAGGGTAAGAGGAAAGAATCGGGGATTCCGGAGCTGGGGGCAATACAGGTGGCTTTTTAGAAGTCATAGGTTTTTCCTCCAGAGCGGTGGCCAGTGCTACCATCCAGGGGGCACGCCAAGAAGGCGCCCAGGAGTGGCAATGGGTCTTCAGCCACTTTGGAGGGTCCTGTAACAAGTCTATCCATGCCTGGATATATGGAACTTGGTCAGGATGTCCCGGGTTTCCAAATATGACCCTGCGGCCTTGATAAGCAAGAGAGATGTTAAAAGAACCCTCTGTAGACCATGCGAATTCCGCCAGGCGGGCCGCTCTAGTTCACAGAGGGTGCAGAGAGTCTGGGGGGAGACAAGGTCTCCGTGGTCAGCGGCTCGTCGTCTGAAATCCTGAAAATGGTCAAGAATACATTGCAGGGGCGACATAGAAGCAGAAGCAGACTGACACTGCCCCATGATTACTGGACAGACAAAAGACAATCGGCCGAAACACACAAAAACAGAACAAAAACAGTTACAGGACTCCGAACCGTCGTCACGGAGCGGAGTTGAGTCCGGGGTCTAACACCTCCTCGAACTCTTAGAGGGGTACCCCAACAAAATAAATGTAGATACAGGTGTCTTACCGGTAAGAATTCACAGATGGCTCGGAGGTTCGAATGATGAAATTTGTAAGTTTTCAGAGACCACCCTGGGGCCAGAAAGCCTCCCCTCAGGAGGTGGTTTCAGAAAACACTGGTTCCTCTAATTGATCCCCGGTAAAGGGGATCCCGGATGAGCCCCCAAATGTTATGGGTCATTCAGAATAGGAACCAGATCAGCCAGGTTGGAATTTGGAAAGCCGTTTATTACTGAGCTCAGGGCCCCTCGGTCTGCTCTCACGCAGGAGAGGACCGAAAAGGCGGCAGCCCAGCAAGCAGGAAGGAGTTTTAAAACCTGGAACCACATTGAGTTTGATAAGCAAATTTATTTTCTGACACAAAATAATGCTTGCAGAATGATTGGGACCACAACTCAAACTACATTTCTGGGGCTTTTGTTTCAGTTTCTGATTAATTTTCATCTGAGTACCTGCAGGCAGCCTTGCATAGCCAGGAGATTACAAGAAGATAAAGCCCATTTAGTTTTCTTTGTCATCTTTGTAAGCTAACTTTGCAGACAGGAATTGGTGAGGGTCACAGGAATTTTATCTAGCAAACAGCAAAAAACAGCCACTAGTTACTAAACAACTTAGAACAGTGCAAGTATACATTTGCACACAACAGAAAACACAAGATTTACATTTATAGCCTAAAATGTGAGTTAACCCATTACACTATTAAAACAACTTCTTTTTCTTAGCCCATCAGAACACTTGTTCTATATTGTGGAATGAAGTGTTGCCCAATCCTACAATTGCAGGTAAAACCAGTTAACATCTTGAAACTAAATTGTTGAAATTTTTATCTTTTGTATTAGTCCAAGATGTACTGTGAGTGTAAAATAAACACCAGCTTTTGAAGTTTCATTAAGGAAAATTTGTAAAATATCTCAATAATATTTTTATGTTGTTTATATACCAAAAATGATAGTATCTTAGACATATTAGAGTAAATGTATTAAATTAGATAAAATTAATATCATTTGTGTCTTTTTTCTTTTCTTTTTTTTTTTTTTTTTTTGACTTGGGATGAAACTCAGGACACTGCGCTTCCCAGGCAGGCACTTATTCCACTGAGCTATCTCTCCATCTTTTCTTTCCTTTTTCAAAAGCATACCTGCTGGAGCACTTTAAATTACTTGTGGTCTTGCATCAAATTGCTCCAGGGCTGCACCAGCTTGGAAAACTGTTGATGGCCTGTGGCAGTGGCATGTTAGTGACCTTACTAAGTAGGGCTGGATGTGGCTACAGTTACTGAGTGAGTGGGTCTCAGCTAGTTTGTAAGTACGAATAAGAGCAAGGGCCAAGGGTACAGAGACTGAGTATGCAGGAGGCCCGGGTTTCAATTCCAAGAACCCAGACTAAAGTTGAAACACTTGGAATTAATTTTTTAAAAAAGAGCAACCATCACTGTCATTTATAAATACATATTACTACAAGATAGCACTATCTATGAATTACCTTTCCAGTGCTCACAATAGCCCAGGAGCTAAGTATTGCTCTTGGGCCTATTTTATACATGGAGAGTTTGAGGCCAGGATCACTGAGCCACTTGCCGGCAGTAGCAGGTGTGCGGGTTTAGGCTTGAGGGGCTCCAAGAAGGCCCACCTACCTAAAACCCAGGCCTTCACCTTCTTCTACAACATCCCATCCAGAATTCCCTGCCCACATGGTCCAACTCTGATTCTGATTCTCTCTCTCTCTCTCTCTCTCTCTCTCTCTCTCTCTCTCTCTCTCTTTCGTACTTTGGTGTTTGCCCCACAGGAATAAAAAAAAAAAACACTGGGAAAGGGCAACCTCCTCACCCCCAGGAGTGGCCCAGGGGGAAAGAGGCTACCTGAGGGGAAGGAAGCACAAAAGGGCAGACTCAGGGCAAAGGAAATGCCCTTGGTGTTGGGACCTGTGAGCACTACAGGAGCAAATGCAAGCAAGGTAGGACTGGCTCCAGGCACATAGGTGAAGGGCAAGAGGGTTGGACATGAAGCCACAAAGCTACTTGTGTTCCTTCTTCTTCTCCTTTGTCTTTTCTTGCTTCTGTAGTATGATCTCCAAGTCCCTCTGCTTGCAGGCCGCAGCAGAAAGCCTGTCATCTTGGCGCTTTGTCTTAAACCAGTCGCTCTGCTTTTTCATATTCTTCTGGCTGGTAAGCTCATACTGGTTACTGTGGGTCCCCTTGTTCAGTCCCTATTTATTTATTTATTTATTTATTTATTGTACCAGGGTTGAACTCAGGACCTTGTGCTTGCCAGGTGGGCGCTTAAGCTGCTGAGCTCTCTCCTGGCCCTCCAACTTGGATCCTCAGGCCTCTCTAGGTCTACTCTCCAGGGGTGCACTGTCCCCGTACAATGTACCTCAAGGGGTCTGAGGATAGCCTTTGCCTGAGGTGTGGAGGGAGCTGAAATGCAAAATCATTTTCAGTGTAAGATGGAGCTGGGACAGAAAGCATGGTGGAGCAGAGCGACTGCTGAGGCTGCCCACTGTCCTCAAGCCCTGGTTCCACTAGTGTGCGAGGCAGACCTAGCACCAGGATCTGACACCAAGACTGACAGAGCTGGTGGTGGCACTGTTCTATGACTCTGAAGGTCACCCTGGGCTTGGAGACTGAGTT